CAATGGCACCATTGTTGTGTTGTAACACGACGCCAGAGCTGGTTGTTTGATCCACTCTTCTGAAAAGTTTTCTTTGCCGTCTTCTTTTCTCTTCCTCTTTGTTAAGCGATGGAACAGCTGAGAAGGTCAAGGAACATTGTCTTTTGTTTCCTATACTCTTCCTGTGTCTTCTCATGTTGTGTGGTATGAATACATTTGAAATGTTAGCAATTTTTTACAGCTCTTAAAGACTTTTAAATCAAAAATAAATTCTTTTAGATGCTAATAACAGTATGTTATTGTAATGTAATGCAATGATTGTGAGGTTGCAGGTGAGACGTAACACTCAAATACATCACGCGCTGCATATGCAACATCTATAAGTCATGTAAAACAAACAATTGCAAACTGAAATAAATATTATTTGATTATATGGTTTGGAATTGGATGTTTTATTAGATCTTTTTTGCGTTTAAATGAATAAATTTGCAGGATTACAAAATATGTCAACTTTTTGTTGATGTTGCCTTGGATTTAGCGATCACGGAATTGCGAAAAACTAGGAGTCTGCAATAAGGACTACAGCTTAATCCAACAACCTGTACAAAAACAAAAAGACCCTGTATTATTTTGAGCTGAAACTTATTTGATTCATACAGTATAGAATCTTAGAGATATTTGATTATACAGTTTTCCCACTGGTATGTTCACTGATTATTTTGCATGTAAATTAAGAATTGTGTGCGATCACAAAAATTTGTTGATTTTGTGCTGGATTCAGCGATCGCAGAATCACGAAAACTATAGGGGGTCTGTCTAGTGTCTATGTTATGCTCACTTCAAGACACTATTGCTAAATGCACTTGAGTTCAACATTCTCACTTTTTTCAAGGCTGTTTAAGTTTAATTTTTTTTTTTTGTTGAGCATCAAAGAAGATTGTTTGAAGAATGCTGGAAAGCAGCTGCCATTGACTTTGAGCCATTGAGTATTTATTATCGATAATCGAACTTGGATCACCGTAAACATCGCACTACTATGTGTTGATGCTCTAACCAACAGGCTATTGAGCTACTTCTTTAGTATTTTATGTTCCTATTAGGCGTGTTGTGAATTTTCTTTTGGGATTAATAAAATCTAAACAAGCAAACAAACAAACAATAACCTTTTTTTTTTCAAACATTCTTAATAATATCTTGTTTTTTTTTTTTTGTTACACAAGAAAGAAACCCATAAAAGTTTAAAACCACTTGAGTATGAGTAAATGTGAGGAAAGTTGCACTTTGGGGTGAACTATCCTTTTAAAATCCATGCAAAATCACAATTTACAATGTTTCTTTTGCTAGAGCACATTGCTCTTTTCATTCAGTCAATCCACAAAAAAAAAAAAAAAAAAAAAAAAAAAAAAAAAAATATATATATATATATATATATATATATATATATATATATATATATATATATATATATATATATATATATATACTACTTTGGCAATCTTCAGTCAAATCTGACCATATACCTCCATGTTTGGTGTGGCGGTTCTTTTCAGATGGCATTAGGTTGATGGCTTCAGCCACTATATTCTTAACCACACCATTGGTTTAAACGATGTGCAAAAGTAAAGGCATACCTCCTACTCAATATTCAGTTTCAGAAGTACATCAACAAACTAAAATATGAGTCTCAACAACTTCCGGTTCACGCTGACTTTAAACTGGGTGTCCACCATTAGCATGCTAGTTTGCTGAGGCCGATCCACATGTTTGTCTTTAAGTTGCCTGGTTTTTCAGCAGGTGTGTGTCTGTCAGCCGACTTCTCAGAGGCAAAATCATGGTCTTTAGCGTAAAAGCAGAGCGGCCGCTGTCTCTCAGCCTGAGTGCTAGCAGACTGTCAGAAATCACGTTTTAGTGGCTTGTTCAGGTCACGCTGAGAGAGCAGCCTCTTGTTTCTAACTGTCTCTTTCTTTCTGTTTGACTATCTTTTTTCTTTATTTTTGCTCTCCAGGTTTGGTAAACTAAACCAATGCGTAACATTTAGATTAAATTTGTATCTATAGAATTCAGAATCTACAGTGTTTAACTCTATATTAATGCAAATTTAATCTTTTAGTGGACTTGTACTGATGCAAGTAGACAATCTTTATTGCAAACAAATAAGCTGATTTTGATATTACACTGTTGATTGTTTATCCCTCGCTTTACCAAACCTTAGCTATCGTTGAGAACATCCCGCAGCGTGAGGGAGGACAGACATGCAGACACCATCATCACATTATTCAAGCTCTTATTGTCTGGCGGCTGCTGTGCCTTGCATGGCATGATTTGTGGGGTAGCCATCTGTGCTCAACCCCTTTTGAAGTGTGAGAAAGAACATATGCATTTGCATAAGAATAATTGACACTTCAAATTAGCCCTCCAATCACAAAGGATCATTTTTAGTGTATGGGAAAGTAGAGTCCCCATCTTAGGGAAAGAAATTATGTTAGCCAAGATATTAAACCTTCACCAATGCCATTATTATACTGATTGATTATTTTTATATGAATAATTATTAGTTCTCTTTTATGAGTGGTAGTATATACAGTGATAGTGTATATACATTTGCTTGTGATAGTGCCCAGCATTCTTCTTCTTCTCTTGATTTTTCCTCTTTTTAAAATTTGAATTTGATATTTTTCTACAACATAAATTTGGGTGTACTAGTTTTTGGACCGTTATCGTAAGTTATTTTGTTAGATAAGCTCCAAATTTGGCTTCAGCACTCACTAATCTAATGTATATGCACAAATATAAGGTAGATTTGTGAGGGGTTATACTTATATATGCTCAGCACTGTACAACATTTCTAAATAATAAATGAATTAACCATTTTTTAAGCATTTGTTTATTACTAAATACTGAATTGTTAAATAATAAGTATAAAAACACTAATACTATTATATGTTTGCATAGATAAGCTGTTACACGCAGTATTTGCATATTTAGTGTGTGTGTGTGTGTGTGTGTGTGTGTGTGTGTGTGTGTGCGTGCGTGCGTGCGTGCGTGCGTGCGTGCGTGTGTGTGTGTGTGTACAGTTGAAGTCAGAATTATTAGCCCCCTTTGATTTTTTTTTTCTTTTTTTAAATATAAATATTTCCCAAATAATGTTTAACAGAGCAAGGACATTTTAACAGTATTTCTGATAATATTTTCAATATTAAATTTCACCTATTCAAGTCCTATTATTAGCCCTTTTAAGCAATTTTTTTTTTCATAGTCATCTTTCAATAGTCTATAGAATAAACCATCAGTATACAATAACTTTCCTAATGACCCTAACCTACCAAGTTAACGTGAATAACCTGGTTAAGCCTTTAAATGTCTCTTTAAACTTTAAAAACTATGTAGTAAAATATTATTTACTATTATCATGCCAAAAATAAAATAAATCAGTTATTAGAAATGAGTTATTAAAACTATTATGTTTATAAATGTGTTGAAAAAAAATTCTGTCTGTTAAACAGAAATTGGGGAAAAAGTATATATATATATATATATCCAAGTAAGATGTGGTGTAATGATTTGAAGATGATTTAGAAGCAGATTTAGTATCCAGTTTGTAGGTCATGTATGTTAGAGCATGTGTGTTACTGTATGCTCAGTGAAGTGTATGTGCTGGTGCATGTGTAATGTCGTAACAGAGAGAGAGAAAAGAACTGAACAAGCACACTGTTACATTATTGATAACAGCTAATGAAAAGAATCGTTTCAGGATGAACAGTGGGATAAACTGTACAAGTCCCTGGATACCCACAAAAGCACACACAGATCTTTACACACCAAGAAAAACCTTAATGGATAAATATAAACTGCGCTCTCTGAAATAAATGTACAAAAGCTGCCACTGTGAGCGGTACCTTTTCAAAAAATATGACGGTACCAAAAGTGTACATACAATATTAGCACATAAAAAATATCTCTTTATGGATTTTATTAAAGAAAAAAAAAATGGTACCACTAGCGCCAGCTTTTGTACCTTTATTTATGAGAGCGTATCATCATATATAGATATATAATTAAAGTGTCGAAATGGAAAAGATTTATGAATTTCTGATGATTTTGTAAATACATTTTCACACAGCGCTGAATGCATTTATCTCAGTTTGCGAACGGCCCATGATGGGGCTGCCCCTGCTCCATTGGGTTAGCCGTTGGAAAACAGCGCTGATCTCGCCACTCTTAGATGGCCATGAATTCATTTGCACACATATGAAAGGAGAGGAGCCCCTGGCCAAGAACCAAGATATTTGTGCCGTCTGGTGTCGGATACTGAGATGGGGGGGGTGTTTGTGTGTGCCCGTCGTGCATGCTGGGAGATCATAGGTTTATCCTGGTCTCCATGACAACGCTGCAACATGCCAGGGCCGTACCAACACGTGGATACCCAGGGCAAAACACTTGATTCAGCGGGACAAGGAAGATATGTGCATTAGCTGCATTAAAAAGTAATGCAATGGCTGAACGGGGTAAGAGTTGACGTTCTGGTCAGGGACGATATTTGTTTAGGGATTTTTAGATCCCTTAGACCCCTTCATTCTAAATACATCAGCGCCAAAAAGAAAACAAGACCACAGACATCTCCAGGTTATGATTCACCTTCATCTACACCGAGCAGATATGTGGAGCATATATTTTTAACCTGAGCCAAATGTGCTTTTTGCAGAGGGGTTAAAAGGGCGAATGAAAAATTCTGTAAATTATTTATAATAGCTGAAACTCTTTTAGTGTTCCTCTGTTGGGTTGGGAGCGAGACTGTGCACTGGAATGTGCTTTACTTATACATTGTCAGATATGTGGTGAGGAGCTGCTTTTATCTACACCAACAAAAGAGCTGAAGGTGGAGGGAGAAGTAGGTCACATCATTTACTGGGGGTCAGAAAGGAGCGGAGAGATTTCGACAGGTTTAACTCGACGTATAGAAGCAGTTCATTCACACATGACACTAATTATTGTGTTTTTTTTTCTTTTTTCTTTCCTTCTAGTGATGTTTCGGAGGTGCTGCGTTGTTCTTTGATGTGAGGAAGGAAGGTTAGTAGACTGTTCTGTTATTTATGTCGCATTAAATAAAGGGTCACTTTTGGGGTTAAGAGGTGGTCACTAAGGGACAAAAACAACTCTGAAGTTATAGTTGAAATTGAAGAGTTGAAGAAAAAGGTAAAAAATGACTCAATTACAAGTCTTTGACCAGGAGACAAAGGCTTGGCAAACTATTCCTTACCTTTTGGTGGGATAATGTACGTTTTCAAATCTCTACATTTCTAAGAGCAGAAAAGTGTTTGCTAATAGTGTTCTAAACTAAGAGTAGCCCAGCTACATTTTGGTTAATGAAAAGTATAATTATAAAATTGCTTTAGAATATTCAATATATTTTTTTTTACTTGCATTTCATGTGATCATTATCCATCATCTGAGAACTGTCTTCACTAATGTGCTTTAAAAATATCGGTTTACACTGATTCAATTTACATTTGTCCACAAAATGTATCTCTGCTAAATAGATATGATCTTCAAATGTTGACTAAAGTATAAGACACATACTATTTTATTTAAATAGCATTTCTTAACATAAACTAAAGATATATATTTTATTCATTGTGCAATTGATTTTGCATGTAGGCTATGGGTGGCTTTGTGCTTCACTTATGTTCCAAACATCATCACATGCACACATAGCATGCTCTTCGATCACTGTCATTACAGAATAAAATAAACATCAATTTTAATGTACATTTACTTAAGAGATGTCATTCAAAACTGTAAAGGGTTTACATTTATTTGTGTTTATCCGTCTCTCCAAAAAGAAATTAAACACTGTGCCATTCTAAATATAGATAGATAGATAGATAGATAGATAGATAGATAGATAGATAGATAGATAGATAGATAGATAGATAGATAGATAGATAGATAGATAGATAGATAGATAGATAGATAGATAGATAGATAGATAGATAGATAGATAGATAGATAGATAGATAGAATTTTTCTATGTTTTTGCTTCTCTTGACTTTTCCTCTTTTTTTTACATACCATAACACATTCTTTCAGGGTTTTTTTTTATTTATTTATTTATTATTATTATTATTATTATTATTTACATTTTGTAAGGAGTAACATTTACATATGTAGTTTCAACAGTCCAGTTTCATCTGAAATGTATCTCAGATCACCTCCTAAATGGTTTGAGTAATTAGAATTATTTCCATCTCAAAGGCATTTTGGATATCATTTACACTTGTCCTTTTCACGATCAAATAACTATCCAATCAGAAAAGAATTTATGAAGTGACTGTTTGTAAACAAGTCCATAGTGAACATGTAGCAGCATGAACTTTATTATAATTATAAGTCACTCACTATAGATCAGGGGTTCTCAAACTCGGTCCTGGAGGTCTGTTTTCCTGCAGATTGTAGCTTCAACTTGCCTCAACACACCTGCAAGGATGTTTCTAGGCTGTTTCTATGCACTCTTCTGTGTTCGTGTGTCCTTGTGTTCTCATGTAACGTCATCATCAACTGCCAAAGTTCAGTTCCAAATCTCAATATCATAAGAACAGAGGACTCGTGTGTTCTTAATATCGAAGACGCATCGATGCAGATTTGCTTGAGTAGTCCTAGAAGTCATTGCGGCTAAATAAAGGATGTTGGAAGTGTAGCATTTTATATAAAGGTCACAGATAAAACTTATTCATCTCAGGAGTTTCTCTAAATGTGAAAGTAAACATTCATTCATTCATTCATTTTCTTGTTGGCTTAGTCCCTTTATTAATCTGGGATTGCCACAGCGGAATGAACCGCCAACTTATCCAGCAAGTTTTACACAGCAGATGCCCTTCCAGTCGCAACCCATCTCTGGGAAACATCCACACACACATTTACACACACACACTCATACACTACAATCAATTAAGCCTACCCAATTTACCTGTACCGCATGTCTTTGAACTGTGGGGAAAACCGGAGCACCCGAAGGAAACCCACACGAACGCAGGAAGAACATGCAAACTCCACAAAGAAACGCCAACTGAGCTGAGGCTCGAACCAGCGACCCAGGGACCTTCTTGCTGAAAGGCGACAGCACTTCCTACTGTGCCACTGCTTCACCTGAAAGTAAACATGGACTTGAAAATCTTAATAAATGCACAAACATATTGAGGGCGTTTATTTGCTGAAATTCGTTTTGAAAATAGTTTTAATTGTTTTGTGCAACCTATATTAATATGACTTTTTTGCATAGTATATTGTAAAAAGGGTAAAATCAATTAATCATTACATGAATGCTGTAATGTTTAAATAATGTTTCATTAAAAATGTGTGAGGGTCATGTGACCATCATGAAGAACGCAGCATCTCATTTCTCACAGGACACGTTCTCTGTTCTCACGGGCTACAGAGTTCATTCTTCCGAGGTAACTTGGCAAGAACAGTCTCCACAAGAACATGAGTCTATTCTCAGCGTTCTTAAAGCTAGGAAACAGTGTGTCTGATTGGGGTTGGAGCTAAAATCTGAAGGACACCGGACCTTCAGGACCGAGATTGAGAACCCCTTCACAGGATGCTTTTTGCCCTACACAAATTCTCTACATGAGTTATTGAGTACTTGCGCAGAATATGAGATTGAAGTGAATTTTGTGGCAAACACATTACCAGGTTTGCATTGACTTTACTTGCACAAATACATAAATTCATTTTTGGTGTGAATCATATGCTCTTGAAGGCCACAAAAATGTATATGGCCAACCAGATTTGGCCTGTTGGAGCTTGTTAAGTTTGACCCGACTGATCTCATAAGGAAACTCATTTACTTATTATTAGAAAGCTGTTATCATCCATCCACATAGTTAATCAGCTCTAGATTACATACAGCTGCAGAAGTTAATGAGAATTATTTATATTATTTATTATTTATATATACTACCCCGACACTAAAACTATGCGTCACAGTGATGTAAAAACAGATATGCATCTAGAGTTGTTTCTATTAGTATAGATGATTAACATGTGGATGGATAAAAACAGCCTTCTGAGCCTACTAGTAGGCGCAGAAGGCCCCTACTGGCCCATATCTATCAGCTGATAACCACTGATAATGCCCATTCAATCAAACGATAACATTCAAAGCGGTTGCAGAAAAGTGGCATGAATTCATACGATTTGATTCATATTAAAACATACGAAAAGGAACTGTGGAGCAAATCTTACTAAAATGTGTTAAAAAGATCATACAAATGAATACATATTAGCAACTAAATTAAAAAGAATTACAAATTGGCGTTAGATTGCGTTGGTTTGACACATTTGCATTAAACAAATATGTAAAATCCATAACAATATTTCAGATTATAGAACATATTCAGAATATCAGGCAAGCAGCAGAGTAGTGTTTCATGCACATGGACGCTCACTTTGATGTTATAGGTTATAGGTTCTTCTGCTCCTTTCTTTCAGGATAGCAGCATGGTTGGATCAAGCAAAAGTGGTTAGTTCGCGCAGGGTTCAGTTCGGGAAAGAGTGGCTCAAGCACCTCTTTCGATTCTCAGAGAAATAATGTGCGGTTGGAGAGGAATCTGACACAGATAGGGTGATGAATTCTGCAGAGTCAGTAAAAGCAAAGTGATGCTGAAAAACACATCTCTGCCGATCTCCGGCCGCACTTCAAAGGTACACGCTCCTCCTGAGGCAGTGCGCTGTATGTAGCGAGCACTTTTAATTTATTCCTCTGGGCTGAAGTACTTTTTGTTGTTGTCTTGATTTTTTGCGTTTAATTATTTACTTTCTGAGACAAGAGATTTAGAATGGAGATGGCTGGATGAGACAAATCTAACAAGCCACAGAAGAAAGTGTTAGCAACATGACCATAAGCACTGCCCGTAATGTCTTATTGGTAGGGCCAGACAGAATCTGCAGAGATTTTGTCATATTTTAGCGCAGAATTTTTTTAAATCTGCGGATTTATGTGGAATGATTTTGGAAGTATCATAACTAAAAACTGAATATATGAAATAAAAAGCAGTTTTACTAATAGCATTTAGAATTTTACCTAATGTTTTTCAATGCAAATCTAATTAGATCCAATTATTTGGTAAACAAAGCAAGTCTCTCATTTAATATGTCTATTAAAAGACAGAAAATATTACTTTACAAATTGTATTGTAAATAAATCATCTGAATATTTTTTATATTAATCAATAATATTACTGAAATTAATTAAACTGAATATCTATAAATTTACTATACATTTACACAAGTAAATAAACAGAGTTAATGATGGGATAAAAATCTGTGGAATTCTGCACGATGTCCTGAGCTGATCTCAAACCTTTGTAATCATTGGTGAATATCATTATGTATTCATTTTATCATATCTGCTGTAAGAAGCCCTATCTATTATGTTGCATCAGCTATCACATTGTAATGTGTGCAATGTAAGTATTTTGCAAGGAGGTAGCAAGAGAGATTTATTCAATATTCTGCCAATTTGACACGGCACCTAAAAGCTAAACTCTCAACGCAATGCAGCATATTTTCTTAGGTAATCGGCAAAGACGGTGATGCAAAACACTGGTGCCATGATGAACTTCGCAATGCCTACTCTGGATGAGGAGACTGCACAGAGGGTTGTGTTGACAAAGTTTGGGGATTGAAAGAGTTAGGGAAACTTCAGAATATTATAAACAACAGTTGAACAGAGTTTGTAGAATAATAAAGGAAATTACCAGCAAGTGCCAGATTTACAATAAACGATATGTTTTGTACTGTATACTTCAGAATAGCACTGGACGATATGGCCAGAATTTATATTATGATATACTTCTTAATTTCAGTCGATGTGATATAATTTTGATCTCGATATATTATTTTAAAAGCCTTAGAAAAGCCAAGAACTCCCGTTACGTATATATAAAATTCTAAAAAACATATCGACTAAGTCTATGAAACGTCATATAAAATAATGTTATATTTTAGAGATAAAAACAGTACAAGTTTTTTTAGATTTATCCTTCATACAAACAAGAAATGTATTTTTA